CACTGAACTTTTGAAGTCTAGCCACTGGAGAAGCTACTTCATGTACAATAAAAATTTAAAAAACTTTTCTTCCACTACTAGAAGATATTGAAAAATTGAACTTAGATTGGCTGCAAGAACTCTGCTTCCCCAAACTGCCTGAATTTTGCAAGCATTCTAACACTATGATATCAAGCCCTGCATTTTCAAGGTAAATACGAATTCAAATGCGGGCAGCTAGGTGGACCAGTAGAGAAAGTGCTGGACCTAGAGTCAGAAAGACTCATTTTTCTGAGTTCAAATCTGGCCTCAGACACTTACTAGCTGTGTGACCCTGTGCAAGTCACTTAACCCCGTTTGCCTCAGTTTCTTCATCTGTAAAATGAACTGGAGAAGGAAATAGCAAACCACTCTAGTATCTTTGCCAAGAAAACCTCAAATAGGGTCATGAAGAGTCATACACAACTGAAATGACTGAAGAACAGCAAAAACGACATCAAATGCAACCCTGGAGATTTCCATTAGCCTGCTCTGGAAAAATATTTCTGCATATTTGTCTTCTCCCACTGTTACAGTATGTCATTGGCATATACTACCTACCACCTGAATGGCTCCTCCCCAGATTGAGAAAGATGCCTTCCCCTCAAAATCATTTTTGCATAGAGGGTTGCTTGAATTTGTTTCAAGAAACTCAGAGTCTGATGTCCATCTGCAATGTTATTAAGCCTTATGTTGTCTTTCCTAATGTCAGATACCTCAGCCTTTCCATGGTCCAGACTTTTTTCCACCTTGGCCACGTTAAGCCTTCTCACTAATTCCTACTTCTCAGGGCCAAGTCTAATAACTAGTGTCCCAACACTCACTTTGACTTTTATCTTCTCAGGTACAACTTTAATGTATTGCTGGTATAGATAACATATCACACAGTGCTTTTCCTGTCTTCTATATAATTTTTTAAAATATCAAATGTCTCCCAAATAATCCATAATGTCACATAAGGTATTTTTGTTATATTTTCCCCCTACAGTCAATGAAGACTAGATGTCCCATTTTCCACAATCCCACTGCTTTCTACAAACATTCCAACTTCCAACTGAAAATCCATGGTGTAATTTCGATCCCAATCACAATCATAATGGACACTGCAATGCATGCAAATATTCATCACAATTATAAGTAAATGTTGCACTGTTATGCGATTCTGTTAACATTTCCACAAAATAAAAAAACCCCTCCATTAACACAATGCACATCAAATTAACACTTTATCAACATGAAAGAAACAATGAAGTAAAATTTCATCTGCTTAGGCGAAGATGCCAGTGGGAAAGAAGATTCAGAACTGTCAATTATACTATAGCTTGTAAGGGGAAAAAAAAATAAAATCAGTCAAAAAGAAAGATCCTCACTCTCTCCCAATAATCAAATATGCATACCCTCCCCTCCTGTAAAAAAAAAATCATACTGGAACTGAGCAGAATGTTAAAATATATTCTTGCTCTCACCTATAATAGGGCTAATCTACAGGTAATAAAACAGCACAACTGTTGACATGTGGGGCTCCAGAAGACTATTTGTAGCTCAAAGCACTTCACAGATTGTACTGTTACATCCCAGGCTCTAAATTCTCAGTTACTCAACCACTGACTACCCACTCCCACCTACTGGTAAGTCCCTCTAGTATATCCAGGCTGTTTACATTCTTTGGGAGCCACAGTTAATCAGTTTAATTAGATTAGTAAAAGCATGAACAAAATACTAAACATATCATAGAGTACAGCATTCCACACACTTCCAAACTCCCAAATACACAGAAAAGAATTAAGAATATGATTTAAATAGAAAATCAAAACTTTAGCCACCCCTCCAAACTGAAAAAAGAAATCTTGAAAATTAGAGAAATAAGGCTAGAAATAAAATAATTGCAGAACTAATTAACTACATGAAGAGATGACTTTAAAAAACATTAATAATCAGATAATTTGTTTCCCCTGCCAAAAAAAAGAGAGGAAAGAAAAATTAGCCCCTTATGCCCTGACTCCTAATCTCATTACTCAATTGGTTAACAAAGATCTCTTTGTTACCATGCTCAACGTCATGTCTTTTTTCAGTCCTCATCCTATTATCTTGCTCAGTGTCTAGTCATTAAACCTCTCCCTCTAGCAATCAAAGCCCTCTATCATTTGGTCCCATATAATTTTATATCACTTTAATTCCTAATAGAAATCCCTTTTTCCAATTTAGCTATACTCCTCACAGTGACTGATACATATCATTATCATCCCAAAGTTGGTGCTCTCATTTAGAAAGTATTTATTTAGCACCTACTATGTTTCCAGCACTGAACTAAGGATATGACAATAAAAACAATAACAGTGCCCACCTTCAAGGAGCTTCTGTTCTAAAGGAGTGAAAGATGTTTACAGATAAGTAAACACAATATAATTCAGGGGGATCAGGGAAGGCCTTCTTTAGGAGGTGGAATTTAAGTCAAGCCTTGATTAAAACTAGTGATTCTAAGAGGAAGAAGTGAAGAGGGACAGTGCATTAGGCATAAAGGATAACCTGTGTAAAGACAGAGTAACTTAAGGTGGAATGTTCTGTATGAAGGACAGTAAGTAGGCTCATTTGGCTGTGATGTGGGGTAAGTAAAAAAGAGAGTGCTGTGTAATAAGCAGGAAAAGGTAGGGTTTTAAAAGCCACCCATAGCCATTTGCATTTTATCCTACAGCCAACAAGGAGTTACTGAAGTTTTTTGAGTTGGCAAGTGACATGTAGAGACATCTGCTTTGGGAATATTGATTCGGCAGTTAGGTGGACAAAAGATAAGAAAAGGGAAAGACTGAGGTAAAGGAAGAATATTAATTAGGAATCACTTAGGTAATTATTACGATATTGTAATATTCAACATGAGATGTCAGATCTAAATCAGGATGGTGGCTATGAGAGTAGAGAAAATGGGACATATGAAATAAAACTGGCAACTGACTGGATACCTTCTCCTCAAACACTAGTTGTACGACCCTAGGCAAATCACTTAAACGCTATCTGTCTCAGTTTCCTTGTCTATAAATGGAGATAATAATAGCACCTACATGTCAGGGTTGTTATGAGGATCAAGTGAGAAAATATTTGTAAAGCAATTTGGAAACCATAAAGTACTATGTAAATGCTAGCTGTTGTTGTTTTTGTTGTCGTTCCAGGGATGAGCAGACAGGTAAAAATCAAGGATGTCTATGAGACAGTGAATTCGGGTAACTTCAAAGAAGACAATGCTTTCAAAATAAATAAGTTTGGCAAAGAAGATGGGAGGACGTATGGGAATGGGGAGGGAGATAATGATTTCCATTTTGGACATAATGAATTTGAGATACCTATAGGAAAAGCAGGTGGAAATGTCTAATGACAATTGATGATGAGGAACTGGAATTCAGGAGAGAGAATTAAGAAACATATATATACATACATACATATATATTATATATATATACATATATACACATATATACATATATATACATATATACATACATATATCTATATATATCTATATATCTATATCTATATCTATCTATATATCTATATCTACATATAGATATATATATATATATGGAAAGTGTTCAGGGAGAAGAGAAAAAAAAGGCCACTATAGAGTCCTAGGGTAAATTTAGGCATAGTAACTAGAACATAGTTGATAATTCAGCAACAAAAAATGAGGAGAAATAAGACAAGAACTATGAAAGGGTCATGAAAACACAGGAAGGAGAAAGTATCTAGGGTAGAGTTTTTAGCCTGAGAGCCATCAACTTTTTAAAATATTGTAATAACCATTTCCTTAGAATTGGTTTCTTTTGTTAACTATTTAAAAACATTATTCTGAGGAGTCCAGAGGCTTTACCAGACTGCCAAAGAGATTTATGATTCCAAAAAGGTTAAGAAACTCCTGGTGTAGAAGGGCGGGATAGTCAATTATATCAAATGCTGAAAAAAAAAATCAAGAAGGATGAAGACTGAAAAGAAAAATCATGGGATTTAGTCGCTGAAATCATTCAGAAGAGTCAAGTATGACAATAATACAAACCTGGGAAAGATAAGATGTCCACAATAGATAGGGAAGCTGTGAAGAGAGTGATTATAGAAGAAAGATAATAAACACCTCTGACAAAAGGTGGGAAGCATGATTCATCATCAGTCTTTTGGAGTCATGATTGGATATTAACTGGAGTTTTCAAGCCTTCCATAGTTTTTCTTTACATTATTGTCCTTTTCATATAAAACCGTCCTCCTGGTTTTGCTCATATTACTCTGTACCTGTTCATACAAGTTCTACCACGTTTCTCTGAATCCTTCCCTTTCATCATTTCTTATGGTGGAATAATATTCCATTACATTCACATACCACAAGTTTAGCCATTCCCCAGCTGATGAATACCCATTTTGTTTCCAGAACCAATTTTTGCTTTCCTGATTTGCTAAGAGGATCTCACTCTCAGCACTAGCACAGATCTAAATACTTGTATATATATGACATTTATAAGTCAGAGGTTCACAAACTGGGTAATATCCACACTAGAGTAATTCATTAAAGGAACCCTGGCTAGCAGTGTATAAGTCTATAAAATGAATCACTTCTAAATATACATTTTCCAAGTTTGGTTTTTATATACTAGTTTTTCTTAAGGTACAGCACACCTATATACCTCTAAACAAGTAAATATTCTCCAGTATCTACACACGTTGTTTAAAAATAATCTCTAGGAAGAAACTCCTATAACTTTCTTTTAGCATTTTACAATAGTATTTAACATCATAGAGTAATCTCATTTTTACTACCTGTTCAAAAATACATATCTAATACATGTATTTTAATAGAGCTTGATATTAAAGGCCCTATATTTAAATAAAGTCAGTGTATAAGGTCTAAATTATGACCAAAATAGATCTTGTGATATTTGTGATCTCATGATAGCTCGAGAGATTTCTACCCCCAAAAGAATCATGTAACCATTTGTCTCTTTCAGTTAACAGATCCCTGTTAGAATGATGAAGATTTCCCTACATTGTCATCATTCTCCAAAACACCCAGGCTCCTAAATTGAGGTAAGCTCATGCTTACCTCCTTCCTCTCTCTTCCCCACCGCTAGCCAATAATCAAGTCCTCCCTATATAATGTTTCTTGCATTTAGGAAAATTCTTCTGGTAATTATAAAGGTACAGAACCCAAATCCTATTTGGGGTTTAGAGATGGCTTTTCATTACATTATATCTTCTTATATCAAAACATAGGCTGAGGGTTTTTTCCCTGTACTTTAGTTTCCTTACTGCATTAAAAAGCAAAATCTTGCAAAAAAAAAGTACAGATTTAAATTTTATTTGGTTGTGGTTGAAAATTGTGGTGTCATGGTTCCTGAATTGTGCTTAGAGAAATTTATGGTGCGCTCAAATAGGCTGAAGTATATTTCCAACAACAACCTGCAAATATGAAGTGGCATAAGGGATATCATCAAGGAAATGCAATACAAAAAAGAAAGTGGAATGGTCAAATGAAAGCATGGTGAATTCATCCTCTATGGAGGATCTGTGGGAGAACATACACAGAATGAAAAGGTATGGACGGGTTATAATCAGGTATGACTCAGTGAATGAGAAGATGGATCCAGCTTGCTCTCAACTAAGAGCACAGTATGGAGCCATGGAAAGAATGTTGGCTTAGGTCTGAGGCTCTTGGTTCAAATACCAATTATGCCATTTTCCACCTTTTTTGACAGCAGCTAGGTGGTGTGATGGATAGAGTGGCCAACCTGAAGTAAGGAAGACCAATCTTCCTGAGTTCAAATATGATCTCAGACACTTACTAGCTATGAGACCCTGGGCAAGTCATTTAACCCTGTTTGCCTCAGTTTCTTCATCTGTAAAATGTGCTGGAGAAGGAAATAGCAAGCCACTCTAGTGTCTGCCAAGAAAACCTCAAATGAGGTCAAGAAGAATTGGCCATGACTAAAATGACTGAACAATCAACACCACCTACGATCTTAGGTAAGATTTTTTTCTGGGGAGTCAGTTTCTACAACTATAAAATGAAAGAGTTGGACTAGATGACTTCTAATTTTCCTTCCATCTCTAAAAATAATGATCTAATGATATCATAGTGTTTCTTAAACTTTTTTGTTTGCCTCACAGCACAGTATTCTTTACCATTAGGAATTGGGACATGTTGAAGTTAGCAATAAGTATTTTCTGCATTTGGGATTCCAGGCCCATTATCTACACCTTGAGATTCCTCTGTCTCTCCTCACCCTCTCTACCCTCTTATTATCATCCTTCTTTACTTCTTCAAGACTCAAAGTAGGTGAGCGGCTTTGAGCCTCCTTAGATGTAATTGCTGCTGTGACCTTCCAGACACCACGCTGGGAAGCAGCAGACCTCAGTTGGGAGAGGGGACTGGGTAATGGAGAAGACTAGAGGTCGGGGAAGGAATGTGGGTGAATATCAAGTAAAACTCACAACACAGTAGGACTCAGATTCACCCTTCCTCTCAAGTTTCACCATTACCACTTTAGTATAGACTTTTGTAATGTAACTAGGATACTGTAATAGCCTCTAGATTCTTTTGCTCCAATCCATTTAACAGGGCTAGTATAAGTAGGTTACGCCCCCTAACCCTACGTGTCCAACAGGGCTTTGTTCTGGGCCCCCTTCTCTTCTCTCTTGATTCTATAGGAGGATCAGGAGGTGTCATTGCTGGGAAGGAGCTTGCTTTATGTTAATAAGGGAAGGAGGCGAAAGGGGGTGAATAGCCCCTCACCAAAGAAGGGCGGGTAGTCCCACAGAAGTGTCTCATAGGACAAAGATTTTATATTCTATTCTAATCTCATGGGGCTCCCAGTGAGGGCAAAATCCTGGCTAGTTGTCCAGGAACAATAAGTGGGTGGTGGTACAGGGCAATCCTCCCTGACCTCTCTGAAGCCTTTGACACTGTCAATCACCCTCTTCCACTCAATACTCTCCTCTCAAGGTTTTTTGGGATCCCATTTTTTCTTCTATTTGAGTGTTCTCAGACTCTGTTGCTGGGTCTTCATTCAGGCCACACTTGCTAACCACTGGTGTTCCACAGGGCTCTGTCCCTGGGCCCTCTTATCTTCCCCCTCTATACTATTTCACTTGTCAGCTCCATGGAATTAATTATCACCTTTGCTGATTATTCTCAAATCTGCTTATCCAGTTATAACCTCTCTGCTGATTTCTAGTCTCACTTCTTCAACCACCTATTGAACATTTCAAATTGCATGTCCTATAGACATTTTAAACTCAACATGTCCAAAACTGATCTCATTATTTTATCCTCCCCCAAACCATTCCCCCTTCCAAACTTCCCTATTGTTGTCATGAATGCCACTATCCTCCAGTCATTCAGGCTTACGATCTAGGTGTCATCCTGACTCCATATCCTCTTCCACCCCCAATCCAATCTGTTGCCAAGGCCTGTCAATTTTGCCTATGGACCATCTCTCATATAAGCCCCCTTTTCTCGTCTAACATTGCCATCACCCTGGTATATGCTACCATTACCTCACACTTAGTTTATTATAATAGCCTGCTAGTAGATCTGCCTGCCTCAAGTCTCTCCCCTTTGAAGTCCATTCTCCATTCAGTGGCCAAAGTGATTTTTCTAAAGCTTAGGTCTATGTCACCCCACCACCCCTCTCTGCTCCCCAATAAACTCCAGTGGTTCCCTGTGACCTTCATGATCAAATACAAAATCCTCTGGCATTCAAAGCCTTTTATAACCTAATCCCACCCCTAACTTTCTTCTTACACATTATATTCTGCTTCCCCCAACATACTCTACAATCCAGTAACACTGACTTCCTATATTCCTCAATTAAAACACTCTGGGAATCTTCTCTGGCTGTCCCCCATGACTAGAATGATCTCTCTGTATCTCTACCTCCTGGATTCCCTGGCTTCCTTCAAGTCCCAGCTAAAATCCTACCTTCTACAGAAAGGCTTTTCCAACTTCTCTTTTTAAAAAAAATGTATTTTCAAATTTTGGAATAAACAAGCATTTCTATAACATATTACAATAAAAAAGATGATTGCACATGAAACTGCAAATCTACTATGTACTGATTGCTATTCCTTTCAAATATACAACAAAATCATCATGAAAATTTCTTTTTTTTTTCCTCCCTCCTCCCCACTCCAGAGATGGCTACCATTAGACCCAAATACATATATACATACATATTTATGTATGTATGTATGTATGTAAAATTATTCTATATATGCTTTTATTTATCAGTTCTTTCTCTGGATGCAAATAGCATCTTTCATCATATGATCTTTATAATCCCATATAGTTCTTAAAACAATATTGCTGTTACTAGACACAATGTTCTCTTGGTTCTGCTCATTTTGTTCTTTATTATTTCATGCAAGTCTTTCCATGTTTTTCTACAATCACTGAGCTCATCATTTCTTATAGCACATTAGTATCCCATCACAATCATATACCACAACTACTCAGCCATTCCCCAAATGATGGGCATCCCTGCAATTTCCAGTTCTTTGTCACCACAAAGAGAGTTGCTATAAACATTTTAGAACATACGGGTTCTTTTCCTTTTTCTCTAATTATCCATGGAAATAGACCAAATAGTGATATTGCTGGGTCAAAGGGTATAAGTAGTTTAATAACGCTCTTTGGGTATAATTCCAGATTGCTTTTTAAAATGATTGGATCATTTCACAATTCCACCAATAAGGAATTAGTGTCCCAATTTTTCCGCATCCCCTCCAACATTTGTCTCCAATCTCTCTTAATTCTACTGCCTTCCCCCTGTTGATTATTGCCTATTTATCCTGTATATAGCTTGTTTGTATATATTTGTTTACATATTGTCTCCTCCATTAGATTATAAGCTTCACAAAGGTGAAAGCTGTCTTATACCTTTCTTTGTATCTCCAGCAAGTAGCATAATGTCTGGCACAAAGTGAGTGCTTAATAAATGCTTACTGATTAACTATTAGACAACGCCAGCAACCTTCACTTACCAATCAAAATGGCAACTACTGTTTCTTTAAGGAGCCATGTTCATTTCTACTTTGCATGCTGAAGAAGCAGTATGTCACAGTACATATAAGACCAGCATTTTCAGTCAGGAAGTCTTGGATTCCAATCCTGCCTTGTGACACAATCTGGCTATGAGACCCTTGGACAACTCATTTCACTTTGAAGTTCTCCATAAAACTCTATAAAGACTATAAAGTGCAGAGGAATTTCAGATCTTTATCCCTGGAAGGAGTTTCCACAAGGCACAACAATAAAATCACTGGTCCAAATGAAAGAACAAAGCAAAATCTATACTGTTCACTTCATCTGAAATGTTCTTTCCTTAATCTCTGAAAAAGACCACCTTTCATTCAAGCTCAAGGCTAACAATAAAACCTGTCAGTATGAGAACCATAATGCCTGCCTCTGAATATGAATTTTTATTTGAACAATTTTTTGGCACTTATCAAGGCCATAGATATGGTCTAAAGGAGGAGGTCCACTGACTCAGATGCCTCCATGCTAATAGCTAACTTTCTATTACTGTGTGCTGTTCCCTATTGCTATTTGAGAAAAGAATGGTTCAGCCCTATGTCTGTACCAAGGGCCCAGGTAAGTGAGGAAAGTCGTTCCAGAGGAACAAGGAGAAATAATGTTCTATCATCCCTGTCTCATTATGAATTACAATAATATAAATAAACTATTCCTCAAGCCTATGTCATCACGAATTGACAAAGCACCAGTACCACCCCCTTGGAAGGCTGTGATGGATAAAGCCAAAAAGTGATATAGATCCCCAGCCACCTACATGCTTAAGTTAGTGGCCTCTTCCACAAGTACTTTCTAACTACTAAAGGGAGGTCGCTGGGTGATGGAATAGGAGGTGAGAGTTTGCTTGCTACAGGACTAGAGAAATGCCAGTTAATCAGGGTACTCAGTTGATCAGAGGAGCAAATGGGGTGGCTGATGGTAATTACAAAAAGCTGGCAGAGGCGGCTACTAATCCAGATGTGTAAGTGGCTGAATGGAGGAA